TTTTTTTTTTTTTTTTTTTTTTTTTTTTTTTTTTTTTTTTTTTTTTTTTTTTTTTTTCTAAAAATAATAACTTGATTTTTATCGTTATTCGGCTTCGGTTAACACGTGCGTTCATGCATATTGTGCATAAACGTAAAAAAATAACTTTAATTTTTGCATTTTAACTAATATTTTAGGATAAAAACTGTTTTGCAGCTCAAACATTACAAATATCTCATACACGTTGTAGAGAACTAAATAATGCTAATCGATTGTAATAAAATTGAACAAAAAACGTTTTTCGCTAAGGTTTAAAAATGGCAGAAATTTAAAAACACGATTTTTGGCATCGGTAATGAACACCCCTGAAAAAAAAAAAAAATTTAGAAGTATGCGTGGCAAACAGACGAACAAAATAAGCTGTCGTCGATCTCAATTGGTCCTGTGGTTATTTCCCGCAAAATGTAAGAAACCTCGATGTTTGATCCAATATTAAAAAATTGATAATTCTCTTTTGCATCTACATTAAGAGCTGAAATGTGGCAGAGTTGTAGCTTTAGTAATCTTCAATAATCACTCTAAATTTTAGCAAGATCGGATGACTGATTTTACAAACATCAGCTTTAATCAATCCACCACCTGGAGCGCTTACTTTCCGCTTTGTTTATTGGTTAAATAAATAAAATAACAAGAGCGCCATTTACCTCACAACCCGGTGCTCTTGCAAGCCGCTTCGTTAATAAAATAAATAAATTTAAAAAAGCAAGCACCAATCCCCAAACAACCCAGTGCACTAACTAGTTGCTTTGTTTATTAATTAAATGAATAAAATATTAAAAGCGACAATCACCCCACAACCTGAAGTGCTTACTGGCCGCTTTGTTTCGTAATTCAATAAATGAAAAAACAAAAGCGCAATCTATCTCACGACCTAAGGCGCTTACTGGCCTCTTTGTTTATTATTTAAATTTATTAAATTACAAAAGCACTAATCACTACACGACTCAGGGCCCTGAAAGGTCACTCTGTTATATAATTATTGAATAAAATGACAAAAGCGCTACTTTACCCACAACCCAGGGCGCTTACTGGCAGCTTTGTTTACTAATAAAATTTTTAATATACTACTAGCGCCAATTACAACAGAACCCAGGGCTTTAACTAATCCCTTTGTTTATTAATTAAATAAATAAAATATCAATATCAACAATCACCACACAACCCGGGGCGCTTACTGGCCGATTTGTTTATTAATTAAATAAATAAAATAACAAAAGCGCCAATCTCCTCACAACCCGAGGCGTTTACCACACAACCCGTGGCGCATACTGGTCGCTTTGTTAATTGATATAATAAATAGGATAAAGCAAACGCAAATCGCTACGTAACTCGAAACGCTTACTGGTCATTTTGTTAATTAATATAATTAATGAAATAACGCCAGCGCCAATCACCACATTAACTGGNTTAATAAAAAAAAAACCTTGTTCAACACTATTACCAATCAATATAAAATATAAAGTAACGTTGGAAAAACTGTTTCCTCGGAGACCTTTTTTTCATCGTTAAATATCTTTTGAGGGTCCGAGCGACCCGCAACCTAAAAAAAAAAATATTCTATCTAATCTAGCATTTGCTTTCGCTGCTGCTTCCACTCTTGCTTCTCTCTCGCCACGAATATTGTGATCTACACACGTATACAACGCACGCATGTATAGTGAAGCATGGAGGGAGTGTATAGTTCATCGTGGCGGGCGTACCACCGCCGGTCTTTCCTTCCCACTCACTCTTACAGCAAGTGTTTAAAACGTCTTATTAAATTTTTTAAGAATAATTTCGCGCTTGTCTGAAGATATGTAATGGATTAAATCGGTATGAAATTTTCTGCCCTACACGTTGGTATTTTTATTTTTGTCGTATCTGTTACCGTCAAAGAGATATGAGTAAAATAAAATTCAGACGCGGTTTTTACATTGATCGAATTATTTAAAAAATTTTTAATTATTTTTCCTGAAATCAGCTTAAAAAAATACGTTGAAAAACATGAAACGCCCTCATGAACAACAAATTTTTAGCTCAGAGCTTAAGCGAGTCGTCTACAATGTTCATGAAGAGTTCAAGCGGGAATAGTTTGATATTGTGTATTTAATAAAAATTATTATCAAAAGACTGTCATATTTACTGACAGCTAATACTGCTATAAGTACAATCACTCGTGAAAGCATAAGAAAAGAATGGTCATTATCATGTTAAATTAATATTTCGCTACGTCGAGTTCCGCATCCATGTGCCCGATGCACTTTTTGTATGACGGAGACGGAAGCGTCACTTGCTAAACCGATGGTGGGGGAAGTGGGGAACCTTTTTTTTTGACGCAGTGACGTTCCGTTGGCTACTTCTACGTAACCGCGGCCTAAGTCCGGTTCATGCAACCTCCCCACCGTTGGCATGGTATAATAAATACATAAGGTGGGCTCTTCAGCCACTGAACCCTTAGAGCATGGGTGTAATCCGCAATCACCACCAGCAGTTACACAACGTTGTCACGTCTCACATATGTAACTGCTGGTGATGATTGCGGAGTACACCCCATATACATATGGAGTATAAAAGTGCAAGCATAAAAATATTTTGGTTTAAAATGATGACTGCAAATAAAAGAGTTGTTTGTCATTTTTATTTGACAACGAATAGCTAGACTATTTTCCCACTGCTCTCTTCTTTTTTCATCTTTGCCAGCACTCAAATATTATTGCTACACATATAATAACATATAATTCATTAGCAACTTTATTTTTCTATAAAGTACAATACTAAAACTTCTGAAGAAAGTGTAAATAAGTATTTACCTGTGAAAGGTTATATTTTTAGCTGCTAAGTCGTAACTTTTGAGTTCACGCGTTGGCACGAAACACGTTTTTAAGTTATTTTTTTTTAACCAGAACTTTTGCAAAATCACGCTTACATTAGTTATTCACTGTGATACTTACAATAGTTAAACTTTTGACACGACTGATGTAAATATTATGAGCTGACGGCACTTACTCAAAGTGAAACACTACTATACCTATACATATAGTCAACGGATAGCCAATCGCGAACGAACAAGGAGAAAAGGGTTAAAAAGTACCCCAAACCTATTGCTTTCTCTCTCTTCAGTTGCCTACAAGTAATCCCATTACGTGCTTCCTCCATGGGTGTAAACCGCAATCGCCGCCAGCTGTTACATATGTAAGACGTGACAACGTTGCGTGGTTGGGGGCGCTACTGTCGATTTACTGGTGATGTGATCCGCAATCCCGCCAGCAGTAAAGCAGACGACGTCAGTCTACTTGCTCTTTTTCGTGACATTTTCTGATTGTAAACAAAGCATATTGTGCTGGACGTAAACAAACACGCAGACCAAAAAAAATAATTTCAAGTTCCAATAAGAAAAATGGAAACAACAGCTTTACTGCTAGCGAAATTGCTCGGGATCACAGCAAAAATTTCACGAAAAAGAGTAAGTAGACCGACGTTGTCTGCTTTACTGCTGGCGGGATTGCGGATCACATCACCAGTAAATTAACAGTAGCGCCCCCAACCACGCAACGTTGTCACGTTTTACATATGTAACTGCTGGCGGCGATTGCGGATTACACCCCATATTTAAATGCTCTAAGGGTTAAGGCTGCAGTCACATGGAACGCAATAGAGCGTGCAGGATAGAATTGTCCCCATAAGCTAATGTATTAAGTCTATCCTGCTACTGCATAGACCTATTGTGCAGCAGTATAGAGTTAACACATCGGCTTATGGGGACTTCTATCCTGCACGCTCTATTGCGCTCCATGTGACTGCAGCCTAAGACCAGGGCCTGGCTAGGCAAGCCATGATGTTAAAGTATAAAGTGTGGCGTTGCGCATCCATTTTGATTGACCAATCAGGAAGACTTTCATCGCGCTGCCATGTCTGTCTGCGAATTTCAAAAGCTTTCAAAACATAAAGCAAATTAACATCAAGAAACTCGTAAAATAAATATTTGTTTTTTATTTTAATATTCTCATTCTAGTTGTTTCAGTGACCAAACGTACAATTCATGAATTTTTACACAGAAAAAACAATTAGGTAATCATTTATCGATTGACGTATATGCGTATATTCATACTTATGTCTATATCTATTTATATTTTGAGGTGTATGCGGGGCATAGGTTATAGTTCCACTTCGTTTCATTGTATTGGCTCTTTAGCGCTGTAGTAATCACATCTTCCTCAAATATGGCGTCGCGATGAAAGGCGCAGAACGGCACGAAAATTGTACCTCGGAACGCCACACCTTGTATTTTTACATCATGAGGCAAGCCTTACATCGATGCCAGTATGATGTAAGAATACAAGGTGTGGAATTCCGAGGTCTCATTTTTGTGCTGTTCTGCGCCTTCCATCACGACGCCATATTTGAGATAGATGTGAATACTACAGCGCTAAAGAGCCAATACAATAAAACGAAGTGGCCAAAATTGAAACTAAAATCTATCCCCCGCAACCACCTCGAAGTAAGACATATATATAGATGTAGACATACGTGTGAATGTGGCAACTCAGCAATTCGTGATTGCGTGCAAGGTGCAAGGTGCACAATCCAGGCGCAAGCAGCAGCTGACACCTCGTGTGTCTCCTTCTAACTGCATGGCGCATAAGCCGAGCCAACCATACCATTCGTCAGAGATGAGTAGAGAGATTGCTAACGCCAATGCTACGATCAGCGTTGGGTTAGGCAGATTCAATATCGGAACTTTTTCCCTAAATCGTATATATAGCTATACGATCTAGCGAGAATGTTCCGTCGAGCAGACAGCACTGCAGTAAAGGGGCATTGCCAAAGACACGCGGAAATTAAAAATTGTAATATTAATAACACAAACGCCTATCACCTAGTGACCCGGGGCGCTTACTGGCCTCTCTAGAGATTGCTAACGCCAATGCTACGATCAGCGTTGGGTTAGGCAGATTCAATATCGGAACTTTTTCCCTAAATCGTATATATAGCTATACGATCTAGNTGGCCGATTTGTTTATTAATATAATAAATAAAATAACAAAATCGCCAATCACACTACAACCTAGGGTGCTGACTGGCCGCTTTGTTTATTAACTATATAAATGAAATGACGCAGGCGCTAATTACCAAACACCCCGGGATGATTACCGGTCGCATTGTTTCTTAATTGAATAAATATAATTACACAAGCGCCATTCACCACGCAACCCGAAGCTCTTACTGGCCCCTTTGTTTATTAATTAAAAAAATAAAATAACGAAAGCGCCAAACACTCCACAACCCGGAGCGCTGACTTGCCACTTTGAATATTAATAAAAAATATATAAAATAACGCAAGCAGCAATCCTCACACAACCCGTTGTGCTAACGGCACTTACTGGTCGTTTTGTTTATCATTAAAATAAATTAAACAAATAGGTGCCATTTACAACACATCCCGAAGCGCAAACTAGCCACTCAGTTAATAATTTTAATAAATAAAAAAACAAAAGCGCTAATCACAACACAATTAAGGGTGCTGACTGGCTGCTTTATTATTAACTAATTAAACAAAATAGCGCAAGCTCTGATCCCCACACAACCTGGTGTACTAACTGGTGACTTTGTATATTGATCAAATGGATCAAATAACAAAAGCACCAATCACCCCACAACCCAAGGCCCTTACTAGTCGCTTTATTTATACAATAAAAATATAAAATAACGCGAGCGACAATCCCCACACAACCTGGTCGATAACTGGCAGCTTTGTTTTTAATTAATAGAATGAAATAACACAATCACCGATCACCATACAAGCCGGAGTGCTAACTGTCCACTTTCTGTATCAATTAAATAAATAAAAAAACAAAAGCGCCAATCACTCCGCAACACGAAATGCTTACTGGCCGCTTTGTAAGTATTTAAATAAATAAAATAACACAAGCACCACGTCCTTTACAAGCTGGTGTTTCAACAGTTCGCTTTAATAATAAATTAAATGAATAAAATAACAGAAGCACTGATTACTATACAACCCGAAGCGCCAACTGGCCAAATTGTTTAATAATTCAACAGATAAAATAACCAAAGCGCCAATAACCAAACAACCCGGGGTGCTAACTGGTCGCTTTGTTTCTTAATGAAAAAATAAAATAACAAATGCTGCAATCACCTCAAAATCCAGAGCACTAACTGGCCGCTTTGTTCATTAATTTAATAAATATAGTTACAAAATCGCCAATCACACCACAACCCAGGTCGCTGACTGGCCGCTTTGTTTGTTAACTAAATAAAAAAAATAACGCACTCGCTAATTCCCACACAACCTGAAGTACTAACTAGTGGCTTTGTTTATCAATCAAATATATGATATAACAAAAGCGCTAATTACCCCACGACCCGCGGGACTTACCAGTCGCTTTATTATTTAATAAAAAGATAAAATAACACGAGCATAAGTCCCTACATAACCAGGGCACTAACTGGACGCTTTGTTTGTTTAATAAATAAATAAAATAAAGAAAGCGCCAATCACACCACAACCCAGAACGTCTACTTGCTGCTATCGTTTATTAATCAAAAGTTTATAATAACGCGAGCGCAAAATCCCACAAAACCGGAGCGATAACTGGCCTTTTTGTTTATTTATTAAAAAAATAAAATAACAAAAGTGCCATTTACCACACAACCCAGAGCACTAACTGACCTCTTTGTTCATTAATTAAATAGGTAAAATAACAAAATCGCCAATCACACCACAACCAGGGTGCTAACTGTCTGCTTCGTTTATTTATTAATTAAATAATATAACGCAAGCACCGATTACTATACAACCCTAAGCGCCAACTGGCCGGTTTGCTTATAAATCAAATAAATAAAATAACAAAAACGCCAATCACTCAACAACACCAAGTGCTCACTAAAAGCTCTGTGTATTAATTGAATAAATAAAATAACAAAAATGTCACGGCCTACACAACCTGGTGCAATAAACTGGACGATTTGTTTATTAATTAAAAAAAAAAAAAAACGCAAGCGACAATCCTCATACATAACAGAGCGGTTACTGTTCGCTTTGTTTATTTATTAAATTAATATAATAATGCAATCACCAATCTCTACACAACACTGGGTGCTTACTAGTCGCTTTGTTCATTAATATAATAAATAAAATAGCAAAAGCG